TACTGTAAGCTGTGTTCACTCTTTTATACAAATGAAGAAGTTGCAAAGAATACTCATTGCAGCAGCCTTCCTCATTATCAGAAATTAAAGGTAAGGCTGAATATAACAGGAGATTTATGAAAACAAATGATTTATGGAAATAAATGAGATACATAAATAAAATGTATGTATGTCCTTGGACCCATCCTATCTTTTGAGCTTCTTTTTTTTTGTTTGTTTTTCGAGACAGGGTTTCTCTATGGCTTTGGAGGCTGTCCTGGAACTCGCTCTGTAGACCAGGCTGGCCTCGAACTCACAGAGATCCACCTGCCTCTGCCTACCGAGTGCTGGGATTAAAGGCGTGCGCCACCAACGCCCGGCCTTTTGAGCTTCTTTTCACTCCAATAAAACCAGATTTAGTGATATACACCCATAATTCTTACACTTAGGAGATCGGATCAGTAGCTCAATGCCATCCTGAGCTGTGTAGTGAATTGGAAGAAAGAAAATAATTTCTAACCACATTTTTTTTACATTATAATTTATCAAAGTACTTTCGATCTAATTTCTCAGATTTCAAAGGTGCTAGAAATATGAACATAAAATAGAACAATTACAAGGTTTTGAGTTTGTATGGTACCAAGTCCCTGATTTATTTATTCATTTTAGAGACCAAGTCTCCCTTTCTAGGTCATAATTAATAGCGTAGACATTGGGGTCCTTCTGTGTCAGCCTCCCAAAGTACTGGGATTGTAAGTGTAAGCTTCCATTAAAGACTTTTACTCGAAAGTCACTTTTATAAACTAGAGATTGTTTATTTCTGCATCACAGCATAAATGAGTAAGGCTCAACGGGAAGCAAGAAGGATTCCTACTGTGGTTTTTAGTTAGGAGCCTTATTAAGGCCTCAATATTAACATAAGCAGACTTGAAATTAGTACTTAACCCAATTGTGGGTGACTTGGTTTTTCACACACCTGCATAGTGGCTACTTCTTAAACATTCCTGATCTGATAGTCTAAGATACTCTACATCTAGCCTATTAACAGTAATAAGTTGTATAATAATAAACTGGTATACTTAAAAATATTGTGTTAAGATATATTTGGCCGGGCATTGGTGGCGCACGCCTTTAAGCCCAGCTCCGGGAGGCAGAGGCAAGAGGATCTCTGAGTTCGAGGCCAGGCTGGACGGACATCCTCCAAAACAATACAGAGAAACCCTGTCTCGTAAAACCAAATTAAAAAAGATATATTTGAAGGGTTTGGGGGATGGCTCAGTGGTAAACTGCTTGCTGTGAAAGCAAGAGACTCCTCCCCAGAACTGAGGGTTTGGACTAATTCTGTTGAAGGTGAGAATGGAGCAAGCAGCAAGTGAAACCAGCTTTGTCAGCAAGGTCTAGGTTTGATTGAGAGACCCTGATTCAATGATAAGGAGGATTCCTGATGTCAATCATGGGCTTAAAGACGTGTATAACCACTTACACATGAAAGGAAGAAAATATGAAAATATCTCGATAGAGATACAGATCTTGGTAGCATGTTTAAGGGCCTAGCTGTGGGTCTATAAGAAGAAAAGTAGAATTGTTATTTTGGCCTGTGTGTCACGGGGCCTCATCCAAATCTGAAGCCCCTAACACTTCTTTTTTTTTTTTTTTTTTCGAGACAGGGTTTCTCTGTGGCTTTGGAGGCTGTCCTGGAACTCACTTGGTAGTCCAGGCTGGTCTCGAACTCACAGAGATCCGCCTGCCTCTGCCTCCCGAGTGCTGGGATTAAAGGCGTGCGCCACCAACGCCCGGCTGCCCCTAACACTTCTAATCCTAAATTTTTCAAACAAGAAACTCAACTTGTATAGTATTAAATTATCTCTTCGCATGTTATGTATTGACTGGTGGATAAAGGTAGCCTTAAATTTTAGTTATTACTTATGTGTTGCTTTCAAATGTAACTTACTGCAATCTGTGTGTCTTACTATGGATACAAGAAAACATTGGTCATTTTCAGTGCTAGCAGCTCTATTTGGATTTTAGACCATGTGGGGTCAAAACCATGTGTGTTACCTAGAACAATCTGTTTTATGACTAAGTATTTAGAGAAAAGATGAATTAGCTCCATTAAAAGGGTATTAGGGAGTTTGTGTTGTTCAAATGAATCGACTTTTCTTAACTGTTTTGACACCTTTCTTAACTAGATGTTTTGTGTTTTTTTTTTTCTCTCCTGTATTTTTTGTTTGTTTTCATTTTCTTTTTAAGGATATAATGGCTTTTAACCCTCTCATCAATCTCCAGTAACCAATACTGATATATTTTAACCAGAAGTAAAGAAGCAGAAATGCTTTTTAAATATCTCTAATATTCCCTAAGTATTTTAATAGATTTGTGTCTAGAAATTATACATTGGAGATCATAGGTGGCAGGAGTCACCACACTATATAGTTTGTAGCCCAGCTACCTGCTGTTGTCAATGAAGTGTCATTACAGCACAGCCAGTCATAGCCATGGTCTTTTGAGTATTGTCTGGCTCTTTTAGGTCAGTGAAATTGTTACAACAAAGATCTAATCCAGCTGTTTCTTCCTTATATGATCATGTTTTCTCTTTTAAAAGAGCTAGGGTTAATTGCACATTGAAATATCCATTTTCCACATGTGCTTTTTTTTTTCATGCTTTCTTGTTGTGTCCTGAGCCAGTGTAGTTTTCTTTGCTAAGATTAACTGATTTATGAAATATTAAGGCATAAGTGTAAGCTGCTAATCTTGGACTGAATTTTTTTATAATTAATACATATACTAGGTGTCTCATCAGTTACTTAGTCCCTGTAATTCTTTTTGTTCCCCCTCAGAAATTTCTGAATAAATTGGCAGAAGAACGGAGACAGAAGAAGGAAACTTAAGATGTACAAGAAGCTTAATTATTTCAAGGAAAACAATGGTTCTTTGATTTTAATGTTAACCTTTTTTAAATACAATACTGATAGTTAGAAAACTATTGTACTCTTTTGTTTTAGTGGAAAAATAATAGATGTCTGTTCATGTGTTTAAGTGTTATATCAGAAAGTACACATACGGTTAAGTTAATGAAAAAGTTTTTTGTTTCATCAAAATGGCAACAGACAAAAGTACTTCCTAGAGATTGACTGTTGTAAGCTATGGAAAACAACTTGCACCACTAAGAGAAAGATAACAGAACCATTCAGAAAAATGAAATTTATTAGTTTGAGGCTTCAAAGAAATGTCAACTTTTGATTCCATTCAATAAAGAACAAAACCAATTGTATTTTTTTATTACTTTTCATCTAAAACATTCCACATTTTAATCTGAGCCTTGCAGACTTTTCATTTGACTTTGGAAGCTGTCTTGGTTGCATTTCATTTTTAGAGAACTTCATTCATGTGAGATTGGCCATTTGAATACAGGTGCAGTTTTCTTTTAATGTCATGCTGTTTAGATGATAAGAAATATTAAGTAATTGGCTTTAGATTTGTATTTTTCTCCCTGAGTTCCTGCTAGGTTTCGTATTCTAGTAGTCTAATGTTATTTCAGTGAAATGTAAAAATATTCCTGTTCTCTTTGACCAGTATTAATTTCTTGAAAAACCTATTGCTTGTCACTTGAATCCTGTAGTTGTCATACATCTCTGGTATAAGCAACATTTGATTTTTGAAGTGTGTGAACCATCTCTATATTTTCAGGATGTGATTTTACATTTCTGCATTTTAAAAACAGTTTGGCCGTAATTCTAGACGCACGCTTCTAATTCCTGTACCTGCACATGTGACCTTTGTGAGCAGAACCTTGCATGTATAATCTGTGTTTACTTGTAGCTCTCTGGTTATATACTGCTTATATCTGTGGATTCAAGTTACTGAAGTGAATATCAATAAAAAAAACTAGGCCATGTTGATTGGTTGGTTAAACATGTTTGGAATGTTAACCAAAATATTTGTCAGTTGTGACTTTTTATTCAACTATTACATTTTGTGCATGCTTAACGAATTTAAGTGTCTATTGGGTGTTCTAAAAACTACTAAAGATCTCAGTTTAGTCCTGGTGGATTTCTTGTTCCTGTTACATAAATGAAAGGGAGGCCTTTTACTTTAAACTTAGAATTTTAGATTCTGTGGATAAAGAAAAACTTCAAAAGCTCCTATTCAGAGACTTCCATAGAATTGAGAATAGCATTGGAAAAATTAGTTTTGTCACTCTTTAAAATCAAGGAGCGATTTTTGGTGTGTTTGATAATCTGGTCCAAAGAATAGTTATGGTTTAAATCAGTGACACAGAATTATTAGTAATTGTCTTTCAAACTCGGACATTTCAAACATTGTTGGTTAAAGTTTTTTAATTTCCTTACTAACATGCACAAAAAATCCTTGCCGATTTTATTCAACTTAATTTTAACTGTTACTAATTATTCACTTTTGTTAACCCCCCCCTTTTTTTTTAATCTAACAGCAACTATAAAAACAGTGTGGACAAGCCGGGCGGTGGTGGCGCACGCCTTTAATCCCAGCACTCGGGAGGCAGAGGCAGGTGGATCTCTGTGAGTCGAGGCTGGGCTGGACCGATAAGTCTCCAAAACAATACAGAGAAACCCTGTCTTGAAAAACCAAAAAAAAACAAAAAACAAAAAAAACAGTGTGGACAGGGCCAGCCATGATAGTGCCTACCTTTAATCCCAACACTTGGGAGGCAGAGGCTTGTTTTTACCTCTGAGTTGTTGGAAGCCATCCTGGTCTACATGAGAGTTGTAGGCCAGTTAAGACTAATTGCAAAACCTTGTCTCCAAAGGCAAACAAAAACAGAACAACATTGTCCACATAAATGGAACCGTATCCATCAGCAGTCATTGCTTATTTTTTGTCATGCTGTGTGGAGTTGGCAATTTGGAGAATATTTTGAACCATTTACTTTGATTTGTGGCATTAAGACATCAGATCCCCCCCAATATACTTACTATATTTACCCTTTTCTACTTTTAAGATGTTGTCCACAGATGCATCTATTTCATATTGGCAGTGCTTACCTAGCTTTCTCCAAATCTGTGACTTCATAAACCAGGAGTGAAGGCAAATACTTTTAATCCCAGACCTCAGGCACTACGGACAAGAACAGAAGTTAAGGTCATCCCCAACAACATAGGGATGTCGAATTCACTCTGGGATGCTATTTTACTCTATGACTGGGCTTGAATTTGGGATCCCATCCAGGAGCCTTCTGTAGACCTCATCACACCCTTTGCCTTCAGGTCTAGTTTATGACAAGCCTATAAGAGAAATGTTTGCTCTTATCTATTCTAAAAATGTGAGGTTATTTTACAATCCTTTTTTACTCATTGCTAGTAAGTTTTGAATTCTGATACTGTTACTTTACATATCCCTAGATGTAATTTTCATTTAGTTGTGTACAGTAGTTCAGCCTACTCAGTGCCAAAAGTTAAATTTCAGTTTGAGCCCAGCCTGAGGATTGTAGATGGTCTGGGGAGAGGGGAAACAGGGAAATGAATCTCTGCCTATAGCAGATATTGGTAAAATTCTGAGGAAATTCCTTTTGGGGGAGGGGTCTTATGTGATAATATGGACTCATACACCTCTGTATAATCAGAGAAATCCTTTCTGGGGTCATTTGTCTCCTACTGTGGGTTCCCCAGACTAAACTCAAGTTCTCAGGCTTATGGCAAGCACATTTACCACTGAGCCAAATCAGTAACCCCTTTTTTCTTTTGTTTCCCCAAGATAAGATCTCACTCATGTTGCTGTGGTTATCCTGAAACTCAACTGTGTAGACCACGCTGACTTGCAATTCCCAGAGATCTACCTGCCTCTGCCTCCCAACTAGTGGGATTCAAGGTATGCGCCACTACACCTGCCCTGCCCTCCTCCACAAACTTCTGGTTGGTTTGTTTTAGAAACAGGGTTTCTCAGTATCCCTTACTGTCCTGGAATTCACACTCTAAATCAGGCTGGTTTCAAACTCAGATCCACCTCCCGAGTTGTGTGCGATCACCACCCACTGAAAAAAAATTGTTTGGTTTTTGTTTTTGGAGATAGGGTTTCTCTATGAAACAGTCCTGGCTGTCCTGAAACTCGATATAGACCAGGCTGGCCTGGAACTCACAGATCCACCTGCCTCTGCCGCCTGAGTGCTGGGATTAAAGGTGTGTGCCACCAACTGGGTGCTTTTAAGAATTTTAACGTCATATCCACTATTTAAATTATCAAGGTAGAGCTGGGCAGTAATGGCATATGTCTTTAATCCCAGCACTCAGGAGACAGAGGCAGGTGGATCTCTGTGAGTTCGAGGCCAGCTTGGTCTACAAGAGCTAGTGTCAGTACCACCTCCAAAGCCACAGAGAAACCCCCATCTTGAAAAAGGAAAAAAAAATGTCTAGCTGAATTTAATCACTATAGTGTGGGAGAGTTAGCCTAGGACTTTGTATTTTGCTAGGTAGGCAAGTACTATAGCACTGAGCTATATTTATTATGTAAAGTGTTCTGCCTGCATGTATGTTTGTAGTCCAGAAGAGGGCACCATGAGGTTTCTGGGAATTTTAAAGAGTAGTCAGTGTTCTTAAGCTCTAAACCATCTCCTAGCTCCAATTTTTAAAACATTGTATCAACTGCATGATAGTGTTTATGTCTCTCTTCAAGACTATTCAAATGAAGATGTTTCAGAAGCAGAAAGATTCCTACTTTGTGAAGAGGGTTTTATTTGTGACACTAGAGTCCATTCAAGTAAGAGTTAGACCTGTTTGAGTTTCAGTGCCACTGCCTATCAAAAGTAAGGACAGTTCTGTTTGTTCAACTTGCCTAGATTAAAGTAGAAATGAGGCTTTCTCATTGGTTATTTGCTTGGAGGGAGGCACGGGCCTAAACTGGAAGATGAGACACTATATTGTGACTTTGTATTCAAACTACTCAGTATGCCTCAAGGCAGAGGTAAAGAGCAGTCTCAGCAGCAGCACAGTGAAACAGTGTGAGTCACCAACTGCTCCCTACTAATTTCTAATTGACCTCTATCTTAGATGGTGTGCCCTGTCCTCTTCTATAAAGAAATCTTTAGGACTAGAGGCATAAAGCTATCTTAAAACCCTTGTCTAGTGCTGGGCGGTCGTGGCACACACCTTTAATCCCAGCTCTCAGGAGGCAGACGCAGGTGGATCTCTGAGTTTGAGGCCAGCCTGGTCTAAACAGAAAAATTCTGTCTTTGGGGGGAAAAGTTCAAAAGTGTTGACTAGTTGGACTCATTGTAATCCTCACACTTGAGAGGCTGGAGCATGGGGACCATTAGTTGACGGCTAGTGAGCCACCTACCAAGACCTTGTTTTAAAAAAAAAAAAAAATTGGCTGGGTGTTGGTGGCGCACACCTTTAATCCCAGCACTCGGGAGGCAGAGGCAGGCGGATCTATGTAAGTTCGAGACCAGCCTGGACTACCAAGCGAGTTCCAGGACAGCCTCCAAAGCCACAGAGAAACCCTGTCTCGAAAAACCAAAAAAAAAAAAAAAAAAAAAATTGGATAATGAACTCAAGTTATTCTGAAGTCGGTTTACTTCAATGCTAGCTTCTATCATTAACATTCACAAGATAAAAGGAACAAGTTATTCATGCGATTGTGCAAACTTGTCCTTTTTGAAACAAGGGTTTTGGGTTGTTTTGAGACATGTTCCCCCTGCGTCCCTGACTGGGGGTTCAATATGTAGACTAGGCTGGCTTGAGCTTAGAGACCTGCTTGTTTCTCTCTCCTGAGTACTGAAATTAAGGTGTGTTGATGGTCTTTAAAGGTGGGGAGGGGATTTATGTACCTGAGTATGATAAATTCAACTTCTGATCGTCCTGCCCAATTTTATTTAGTGCTGCGGCTGACAGTGAAGGTTTAAGATATATCCTCAAGCCTTTTTTTGCCTCCTCACATCAAAGCCTCAGGTACCTGTACTGAGTGCTGGGAGTCTAGACTAGCATGCTCAGAGAGTAAATCCTTCATGTCTTAGGCACAGGCACATACTCTGCCACTAAGGTCTTATTGAATTGCCAAGTAGACCTTAAAGTTGGAGTCATCCTACCTAAGCTTCCTTAGTAACTAGCTCATAATCCTGAGGAAACACTATTCCCTATACCTCTGCTTTTTATTTGGGACGGTCTTTTAAGTTGTCAGGGTTGGCCTGCAATTGCAATGTAGCCTAAGTAGGTCTGGGTTTTTGGTTTTTGAGGAAAGGTTTTTTTTGTTGTTGGTGTGTTTTTTTGTTTTGTTTTGTTTTTTGTTTTTGTTTTTTTCCTGTATCCCTGGCTGAACTGGAACTTGCTCTGGAGACCAGGCTGGCCTCTGGAGACCAGGCTGCCTCTGCTTCCTGAGGGCTGGATTTAAAGGATTTCACCACCGCCTGGTGAATTATTTTGTCCCCTAAGTGTCTGGAATTCCAGACCGATACCATTAGGTTTTAGAGGTGTTTGGATTGGCCAAATGTGTGATGTATCACACTATGGATGCTGAGAAGGCTTGCTACGAGTTGCTACAAGATGAGCATGGGCTACAGAGTGAAACCCTGTGTGTGGGGTGGGGGGCTAGAGAGATGCCACAGAAGTTAACGGTATACACTGCTCTTGGCAGAGGAGCTGCAACAGTTGTAAGCACTTATGTGGAGGTTTGCAACCAACAACTTTTTTTTAAAATATTTTATTTATTTATTGTGTATACAGCCTTCTGCCTGCAGGCCAGCAGAGGGTACCATATCTACTTCAAGATAGTTGTGAGCCACCATGTGGTTGCCGGGAACTCAGAACCTCTGGAAGAACAGTCAGTGCTCTTAACCGCTGAGCCATCTCTCCAGCCCTCAACTAACAACTTATTAAATACAGCTCAAAGGCTTAGGCACCACACAGATGGCATACATGTAGACAAGTGTGGTGCATGCCTTTAATCCCAGCACTGGGGAGGCAGAGGCAGGTGGATGGATCCCTGTGAGTTCCAGACCAGCCTGGTCTCCAAAGCTACACACAGAAACCCTGTCTCAAAAAAAGTAAACACTCCTGATTCTATTGTTCCTACCTACCTTGGACTGTTTTCCAGGTTCCTCGACAATACTCTTTGCTTTTGAGGCTCAGGTTTACAACAGATTTGTTTCCTTTTTTTTTATTTTTTTTTATTTTGTATGTTTGTTTTTGAGAAGGCTGTTTCCTGAGGGCCACCCCAACTTGCTGTCAGCATCCTTTGGATAAATAACTCAGTCTCTGTCCTCTTAAAGCTGTTGTGTGCTCAGCAGCAGCAAAGTCAAACTTTCCCTTCCAGTTGGCTATAAATTGTGGGGGCTTCAGCTTAGTGGTTTGTGACCCTGCTTTGAGGTGAGAGGCTCCTATAAAGTTTAGGATACAGTTCTATAAATGTAGGTGAAGTAGTTGAACTACATTAGAATACCCATGTTTGCTTTGAACTGGCCAAAAAATACTGAGGAGTAACCCCTGATGTCACCAAGATTGGCCCAAGGTAAAAGTGCTGAGGGCCTACTTGCATTCTTAGAGCCAAGGGAATGTCGCTGATGATCTAGAAAGAAGAAACCATGGATCTGGTTGTAACTGTTTGCAACAAACAAAAACTTAAGAATTTGGTAGTTTCACTGGATTAATACGATGTTTTGTTTTTAAGGATTCCAATTTCATTTCCAAGTTCATTTTCCCTATATCAGAGGAAAAACATTTAGTGGGTCTTATGTGTCATCTTTCAAATCACACCAACATTTTCACACATAACATACCTAGATCTTCCTTAGTCTTACTGACAGAGATCTTTAAAACCTTGCCAATGACAAAAGCAAGGAAGTGTAGCTAAGAGCTTTTAGGCCAGTACACTGAAGGTGGTTTAAAGTTTCAAGGGTTTGGGGTTTGTTTTGTTTGCTGTGGTACGTGTGGAGATCAGAGACAAGTTTATGGAGTTGTTACTTCTACCTTAGCGTGGGCCTTGGGGATGTAACACAGGTCACAAAACTGCTAAGACATCTTGCTGGCCTTTTTTCTTTTTCTTTGGACAGGGAGTCATGTAGCAAAGGGTGGACGTGTAGTCCTGCTTCTTATGTCTTCTAAGTGCTGGGTTTACTGTTGCGGAAGTTCTGGAGCCTTCCATAGTTTTGTCTTAGTTCGCATAGTTTGTTACCTTGGTTTCAAAGATACTGTGGGAGGTCTGTAAAGTGTGTGAGAACGAGTGCTTGTGGATCAGCCGTGTGTATGCTCATGTCTGGATCTCTGTATGACATCCGTGCATGTTCTTAACCTGACAGTGTGTTACTTTAGGTGTGTCTGCCGGAGCAGAAGGCCCTCTTTAGTATATACACGTCAGTGTACACATGCATACCTTAGTTCCCGGCTCCCACAGCCACAGAGCGCCATCAGTCGGGTAGCGCGGGCGAATGAGGGGGTCACACCCGCCTCGAGCGCCATCGACAGCTAGGAAAACCCGAGCGGGCTCCTGGCCCCTGGGAGGCCTTCGCTCCCGCGGAGCAGCACGACCCGGAGACCACTTTGGAGTCGCTGTCTCTCGCGCGCGCACTCTAGTGGCCTAGTCAGGCAGCGAAGACGGAACGAGTGGGCGGGGCCGGCGGTGACGGAAGTGAAGTCACTTCCGGGCTGGGGTGTTTGTTTGGACTAGAGAAGGGAGGCGGCGGGCGAAGCGCACGTCGAGCGGGGGAGCGGCGCTGCCTGTGGAGATCCGCGGAGGCCGACAGGACTCGTTGGCTGCCGTGCCCGCTGCCGTGCACTGGGTGAGGGGTCCCCTCAGACGGAGCGCTGCGAGGGCCGCGGCGACCCCGGCGGGCGAGAGGCCGCGCTGGCTCGGCGAAAGCCGAAGGGGGCAAAAAAAAGGAAAAAGGCGGCTGTGGGCCGCTCCCCCCCCCCCCAGCCCGGCTTGACCTCGGCTGTGCCGGGCCCGCTTCCGCCGAGTGTGAGGGAGACGTGGCCGCGGCTCGTTCCTCCCCGTTTCGTTATTGACGATTTGGGTCGCACGGCCGCCTGCCCCGGGCCTCGGGTGGGGGCGCGCGAGCGTGGCCGGGAGGGCGCGGCCCTGCGCTGCGCTCGGGTCGCGGGGCCGTGGACGCGTCCAGTACCTCTCCCCTCCCTGCCCCCCCACTGCCCCACCCCACCCCATCGCTGCTCGGGCAACAAAGCTCATTGTTTCTGCCCCCTCGACGCCTGCGCGTCGCCACGCGCGGCCCCCGCCGCCGCGCCTGCGCGTTCCTGCCGAGCCTGGGGTTTGGGGAGGCAAGGGGCCAAGGGGCGGGCGGGCTGCCGGGCCGGCGGCGTCCCCGGGGAGCGTTCCGTAACGGTCGGGCGGCTGCTGTCTTCCGACCCCTTCCCTCTCCTCACCGCCTCCGCCCCTCCGTCTTAAGCCGTGTCAGGCGCTCCGGAGGCGTCCTTTGTTCGGGGGGTGCTGGGAACCCGCAGCGAGGCTCGCAGCGAGGTGGACGTGAAAGGCCCACCCCGTTCATTGTCTGACACCGGTCCTCCTGCCCTTCGGGGGCGTGATTATTCCCCCACCGCTGCTAACCCCAGCGACAAGGACGGGGGTGGGGGGAGTCGTAGGGCTTCTGGCGAAGTCAACTTCTGAAAACGTGTTGCAGGAGCTTCTCCCTAATTTTGAAGCTCCAAATCCCTAGAGATAATGTGGTTTTCATTTTTGCTGATAGCCTTTTGGACGCTTGTTGCAGTAAATAATTTTCGTTTTTGTGTGTGCTGGCTGAGCGTTTCATTTATCGCGGTGGCGCGTTTTTCACACGTTTCGTTTAGGTGTTGATAAGCGTTGGTTCATGAAGTAATATCTGAAATTTAAGCTGTAGATCATTTCAGCTAGGAAGGGAAACTATGCAACGACTTTAATGAGCTATTCAGTAGTGGCTCTTCTGTGGTTCAGTTTTTGGTTTGTGAATGACAGGCTATTGACCACGGCCAGTGTTAATGACCTTGAACAAAACCATTCTCGCGTGTATGTAACCCAAAGATAGGTAACGTTCAAAAAAATTACACCCTATTTGTATTTCTATAGTAAGGGCGATTCCTGTAATGGTTAAAGGCTGTGCATATTGGTCCTTGAGAACTCAAATTGAGTTAGGTAATGTCTACCCTGTGTGGGAAACAGAATAACTTTATAGTGGCGTTTTCTTCCAATAAGCAAATCTTACTTGAGTTTATCGCTTTATTACCATAGATAGTGATGCCTTCATTTTAATGAAAGTTATAAAATGTCCAGTTACAGCCATAATAATAGGTATTATGGAAGCTTGAAGGTAGTATTTAATAACCTTTTGCGCTTTCACGTCTTTTTGTGATTTACTTATATTTTCCTATTCATGACAACGTGAAGTAGAGTTAAGTTTTTTCCTTACCTATTTTGAAGTTGAGAAAACAGGAGCTTGGCAGATTATTTAGCAAGTACATATATCATTTAATTATGTCAGACATTGTTCTAAGCAAACGTCTTTGATTTCCCCCATATGTCTTTGGTTTTCATGAGACAGGGTTTCTCTGTGTAACAGTCCTGGCTGTCCTGGAACTCACTCTAGACCAGACTCACCTCGAACTCAGATCTGCCTACCTCTGCCTCCCAAGTGCTGTGTTTTAAGGGGTGCGCCACCACCGCCAAGCTGTCTTACGTTTTGATACCTGGTTGCATAAATTAGTGTTTCTGATGTAGTTGAGCTTTTGACTCAAATGATGGAGAATGCCGAGCCATCCTTACTCTTAACAAGTCACCTTTATAGCATTAGCGATTAATGTTAGATCATACACTTTGAGTTGGGTTTTTATTGTTGCTTGTTGTGCAACAACCAATAACTCCAGCCCTTTGAAGCGGTCTTGATAAATTGACCAGACTGCCTACCTTTCTGCTTCCCAAGCAGCCAAGATTTCTGGCATGTGCCACCACATGGGCAGGTTCTAGTCTTTGATTGGGGTTTTTCTGTAACATTGTTTCACTCCTGCAGGTATAAGACCTGTGGTTTGTTTTGTTTTTTTTAACTTATTCCCTGCTTTAGATGGTTGCCTTTTCTAAATGATTAACTGGTTGTGGTTAGGTCTGGTTTATAATCCTAGAATTTAGGAGATAGAGGCTGACTTGTGTTACATTACATTACGGACAGTCTAAAAATATATATAAATATAGGAGACAGAGGCAGGTGGATTCTGTGAGTTTGAGACCAGATTGGTTTACAAGTTAAGAGGCCAGCGTGGACCATTTAGTGAGACCCTGACTATAAATAAGTAAAGACCAGTGCTGGGTGACTGTAATCCCAGGTCTCAGGAGATGAAGGCAGAAGGAAGCCTCAGGACCTGAAGGCCACTCTTGACTTACAAGTCCCTGTCTCAAAAGGGGGCTGGGGAGTTAAGCTGGAGCTGGTGCTCCCAGTTAAGAAAAGTGCTTGTGACCCTTACCGGGGACTCATTTCAGTTCCTGGCGTCTACATGGCAGCTCTCAGCCCTCTGTTACCTCAGTTCCAGAGCATCTGCTATCTGCTGCCCTCTCCTTACCACTGGAGCACGGGGCGGGCGTGTGGGCGTGAGTGTGTGTGTGTGTATAGGCAAAACACTCACACAGAAAATTTAATCTTGAAAAGGTATTTATTTTATGCCTCTTTTTGCTGCATATGTGTATTTCAGCCATCTGTGTGCCTAGTACCTGCAGAGATCAGAGGGTAGCGTAGGATCTCCTGGAACCAGAGCTAAAGATGGTTGTGAGCTACCATATGGATGCTGGGAACTGAGCCCTGAAACAAGTGCTCTCAGCTGCTGAACCCAGCTCTAGGTACTTTGATGAGGATGGTGAGACTTAGGCAAAATAACTGATTTACCCATTACACAGCTAGGAAGAGTAAAGCAGACTGGCCATAGCTAGCATTTCATTGTTTTTGCTTTTAACATAGGGACTCACTATATAACCCTAGCTGCCCTGGAACTCAAGAGATCTGTCTATTGAGTGCTGGAATCAAAGGCATGCTCCCCCCCAACACTCCTCCTTTTGAAAATAAGTCTTCTGTCCAGGTGTTGGTGGCACACACTTTTAATCCCAGCACTCAGGAAGCAGAGGCAGGTGGATCTCTGTGAGTTCGAGGCCAGCCTGGTCTACAAGAGCAAGTTCCAGGACAGCCTCCAAAACAATACAGAGAAACCCTGTCTCTAAAAACCAAAAAAAGAAAAGTCTTCTGTGCACATCACATTGTACAGCTGACCTTCAAGTTCAGGCCCTGCTGCCTCGGCCTTCCAGGTGTTGAGATTACAAGATGTGCCTCACTGTTTGGCTCTTAGGGCCGCCGCCTTTTCATTGCCTTGTAGTGTCAAACATTAAGGTAGAAATTTAATGCTTCTTGAAAATGTCTGTGTGGAAAAGGACTAATGAAAATTTTTTTCTTTTATGAATTTTGTTTTTGAGACAGGGTCTTATTACATAGCACAGGCTGTTGTGCGATGTTTTACTCTTTTGGCTCTTTTAGTCTTTTTTGGACTTTTGTGGGGGCATACCACCCAGCTCCCAAATAAATCACACAGAGGCTCATTACTATTTATAAAAACAGCCTTACCTGGCTGGAGAGACAGCTCAGAGGTTAAGAGCGCTGACTGACTGCTCTTCCAGAGGTCCTCAGTTCATTTCCCAGCAACCACATGGTGGCTCACAATCATCTACAATTCAATCTGGTGTCCTCTTCTGGCGTGTAGGCAGGACACTGTGCATGTAATAAATAAACAAATCTTAAAAAAAAGAAACCCCGCCTCGAAAAACAAACAAAATAAACCATTAAAAAAAAAAAAAGACAGACTTATCTTGGTTTGTTACTTGCCAGCTTTTCTTAATTCAAGTTATCCCATCTAATTTTGGCCTTGTGACTTTTTCCTTTTCTTCTGCATATGTTGCTTTAACTCTTTCTTAATGGGTAGCTGATCCCTGATGTCCTCTCCTCTTTCCCTTGGTCTCTCATTGCTTGTTCCTTCCTTTCCTCTTGCCTGCCAGCCCTGCCTATCCTTGTTCCTGCCTCCTATTGGCTGTTCATCAGGTATTTTAGACAGGCAAAGAACCAGGCACAGCTTCATAGAGTTAAATGTGTAATATAGACAAAAGTAACACACCATAAAATAATATTCCTCAACACCAGGCTGACTTAGAACTTAATATGTAGTCTAGGGTGGCCTGAAACTCAGGATAGTCTTCTACTTCACGTCCTTGGGTAATAGAATTACAGATTGTACTTAACAGCTGAAGAAACTGGTAGAGGGTGTGTGTGTGTTTGTGTGTGTCCTAAAGAATACAACTGAAGCCTGAAGCTAAGGAATCAGTAGTTCAGAAAAGAAAAATTAATGCCTATGAAGGCAAATTAATGAAAGAAACAAAAGATGATTCTATTTGAATTTCTCCCCCCCCCAGATGGTTTCTCTGTATTGTTTTGGAGGCTGTCTTGGAACTCACTCTGTAGACCAGGCTGGCCTCGAACTCACAGAGATCCACCTGCCTCTGCCTCCCGAGTGCTGGG